TCATCTCAGCTAGTGTAGCCTGGTTTTTGTGGGCTCGTAGAGCCTCTTTACACCATTAGTTTACATTTTTCAAAGGCCACTTGTGGAACTCTGAACTTGTTGGCCTCTGTGTCGCTTAAACTCCTTCTGCTAGCCTGATGTAAATGTGCAGCAAAATCCTGGAAAGGCTTTTCAGGACCCTAATGAACAGAAGTCAAATTAAGGGATATCTCACCCTTTGAAGGAAGTTCCCTGCAAGCCCTTGTGGCAGCTACTTTAACTTATCCATATACTTGCAATTCAAAAGTAAGTTTAGGGCATGATGTAGCTCAGCAGCACAAGCATCTGTGTGACAAACACAGGGTCCTGAGTTCAATTCCTGGTATCAAAAAAAAAAAAAAGGTACAGCTTCATGAAGATGGAGAACTTGTCCAGGATTATTGGACACTTGAACTTCACTAACAGGGTAGACATGTTGAAAAACCTCCATGGATACCCCCTATACACCCACCCCCCACACCCCACACACCCCACACACCTGTCTGACTTTAGTGTCAACTGCAAAGGAGAGAGAAAAAACAGCTCTACTCTCTGAGGGACAGAAATTCCACCCTGTGATACAGCAAAAGTTTTCTGAGCTGAAAAGGTGGGAATTTCCACTTGTAGTTCAGGTAAGGTTATCAAAGTGGCTGTTATTCCAGTCTTTTTCCCACTGTGCTGCAAATCAAACACTTCGTGATCATTCCAAGAAACTTATGTTCCCTGAAGCACTCCTTATGCAAATCCAAAAAAGCAAATATAGAATTAAGACTATTTGCCTCATATTTTACACCTGATGACATCAATTCTGTCAATGTACTCTTCTCCCCTTTCATGCACACAATGAGAAGTGTCCCCTCACCCACTATTTCTTCTTACCCACTTCTCTGATCAGACACCTATGTTTTGGCCCACATGACTCTCAAGGTCGGGAGGGGTCGGATGGTGAGAGGATGGAGAAGTAAAAATAAAACAGAAATCTGAGCGCTCTTCCCAGATGGGAGGAAAGGAGCTGCTCAACCTCCATTTTTAGCATATTTGTTTATACATTTGGCAGGTGTCACCTGACATCCTTTTGCCTAGCAGCCCATTGCTTGGATGGTCTCAGGGCTTGGTGTTACCTAGACTGAAGCCGCTTGTTCATGTGGCTTGTCTGGGGAGCTGTTCTCAGACTAGCCTTGCCTCACACCCATGTGTGTGATCCATTTCCAGCTTCTGTAGCTCCCTACAAGGACTCACTGCAACCTTATCACAAAGTACTTCTGCAAAAGCATCTTCCCAGGGACTGTCTATCCAACCTTGGACTAATGTTACTCTAGCTATTAATCACTGTGGCCAAAGACTTTTGTTTCAAAATATTTAAGATAATGCTCATTTTTGCCTTTGCAAACTTCCTCTTACCTCAATCGCCTTGAATGGGCTTTTTTCTTTGGAAAAATCTGTTTTTATATTGACATAACCAACAAAATGACAAAATGCTGCCAACATTGGATCTGTAAATACTGATGGGAATAGGGCACTACTCAAAAACAGGCCACATGATGGATGACAGGAAGTGAAGTCAAGTGGCAATGCTTCTGTGGAAGGCTATTGGGGAGTATGTGGCATTAGAGTAGAGAAAGGCTGGGGGCCAGGGCCCTACTGTGGCCCAGAAAGAGGGAAGGTCAGGAATGGGCTACACTGCTCTAAGACGGGACCACTGACAGGATTGGAGAGGCTTGCACAGCTCCAGGCCGATAGAAGCCCTAGAAGCATTGGTCCTGGGCTCCAGAAGTGCAACCCCTGGTGAGGAGCTGCAACTGGGATGTCTGCTGCTGTGAGTAGCAGTGCTCCTAACTAAAAATGTCGTAAGAAAACCCCTGGAGCATAAGGATCATTAACAGTCATATCTCCCCGCGGCTGATGGAAGTCCAAAGGGAACTAACAAAGCGAGTGTCTCTCAAGTGTACAAAGGATGCAAGACTACCCTTCGGAACTGTGCAGAAGAACAAGGGTCCAAATCGAGCCACGGTGCAGGCCTGGATAAGGGGCTCCTATGGCTCCCACCCACAGCTGTGCACAAGCACTGTGGCTTGTATCACCCATGTGGGAAGCAGATACTGCCACAACCACCAGAGCAGGAAGGAGGCAGAACTGCCACCACCTAACTGTAACCCATGGGGCTCCTGCTCCTTCCCATGTGGGGTCCCATTCAGAAAGCAGTGGATGCACCTGATTGGTGGAGCCAAATTCACTGCACTTACCCTAGCTCCAACAAAACTAGGAGAGCCCAGATCTGACGTTTTGCACTCCTATCATCAGAAGCGAACTCAGTAGCCTCATAAGGCCTCAACTATCCAGCGCCAAAAAAAAAAAAAACTTACGGGGCCAGCAAGATAGCTCAGCGATCTAAAGCACCTGCTCAGCCAGGCTTTGGCAGGTGCAGGGGACTGCGGTTCCATCCCCCGCACCATATGCCACGCCAGCCCAGCCCGCAGGGTGGGCGGAGCCGGCCAATAAAAAAAGGTTATGTAGCCACCAGGCCCACCTTAATGACCCAACATCATGCCACCACCCTTAGCATGAAACAATCCTCCCCATCCCACAGGGCTCCAAATGGCCCCATCTTCTCATTAACCCACTTTTCAGCACCATTTCAAGCTCTGCTCCAAGCGCCCGGGTAGCCTCCACCAATCAGGTGCAACCTTGACTTTTAATAAACAAGAGTATAGCAGAAAATGCCTCTCCACCCTCCACCAGTTCCTGTTTTCTTAAAAGTGGCTGGTCATTAGATGGATACTGTGAAGAACCAACCAAATATAGCCCAGCGTTCTGCTTCTTGCTTACAACCCTAGAAAACCTTCCCCGAACCTTCACAGCCTGGTACTTTTGAAATTATCAATCAGTGCCTGTCAATGTAAATAAATCCGCCTGAAAATCCTGGGTCTTTTCTGGGTTTCTGTTGGATGTCTTTATAGGCAAATAAAAGCCCAATGTAAACACTAAAACAAAATACAAGCTTTGCCAACTAGGAAACAACTAACCCCTTCCCCTCATACCAAGAAAGCAAGTGCCTAGCTATAGCAAATCAAGTCGTTTCTCCACTGTCTCCGCATTTAACTTACAAAGGTTCACTCGTTTTGTTAAAGCAAACGTCTTACAGCAGACATCTTCTAGTTTCTTGGGGAGGGGGGGTACTGAGGATTGAACTCAGGACCTTGTGCTTGCCAAGCAGGAACTTATGCCAGTTATCTTCCCTGGTCCCTTTCTTCTAAGTTTGAGTGCTGTCCTATTCATATCTACTCAAAACTTGTTAAAATTGGTAACTGCCTCAATTTCTACCCTTCAGAGAACACGGCCACGACTCCTATAGGTTCCATGCTTTTCCTGGCCTGCTCTCTTCTGCAAGAACACCAACTTGCAGTTTATGTGGACATTTGTCAATCCTCAGAAGTGCTGCAAATGCCTAAAGGTTTTCAGTGATATTTTGAACTTTTAGCTTACTAAAGAAACCACCCTGGGTGTTGTATAAACCCAGCTGCTGCAATACTTGCTCTCTCACCAAGGGTGCTACTGGACTTTTGGATGAACTGTTGTTTGTATAACCCTATCACACACATTGCTCACTCAGCAGGCCTGATTCCCTGGTGCATGCTACTCACAAGTGTCATCCCCCAATTAAATTTCAAAACTATCATGCCCCTCTAAGGTACACTGAAGCCCTAGACTAAATGGAGCACTTACCTCTCATTCTGGCTATCTCCCATGGGTGGTCAGCAGGGGCGCTTTTCTGTCCTTTCATCCCCGTCCTGTCCCCAGTGACCCCTTCCTTGATTTCCCATAGCAGAAGTGAAACTGAATTGCTGCACTTAAACTTTATTGAAAGCAAACATTAACTTAAGCTATTGAAAATGTGATGTCCCCACAAATATCCTTGCAACTGCTGTAAGCCATGGGTACTGCTTGCCCCAGGACTCCTGACAAAGGGCCTCATCCACCCCCCACCACAGTGGGGGTCTCTAAGCACGGTGGCCCTCCCTGAGGGGCCTAGATCTGCCTCTGGCCAGGACAATGGCCTCTAACAGTATTCATTCACCTCAGGGAGTCTCTATGGGGACTAATGCACTGTGGAGTGGCTAATCCCTACACATCAGAAAGCATAAGGAACATCACGGCACACCAAATAAACTGAGTTACAAATCGCACACACAGAACATCAAAACAAAGGCCCCAGCCTTCTCCCTGCATCCCCAGTCCAGTTCCTCCTGCCCAAAGTTGCAGTCCCAATCCCGGTGCAGTTTCCTCCTGTCTAAAGCTGTAGTCCTGATTCCAGTCCAGTTCCTATCCAAAGTTGTAGTCACAATCATGGTCACAGTCGCAGGGTGACTCTGTTGTCATCCATCCTTCCCTCCTTCTTGTGGACCAGTCTCAGGGTCACCGGACAGGACCTGCTCAGATGACAACACACACACCCACGAGAACAAGCCCAGATGCACTCGTAGAAAGCAGAGCTTGGGCTCTCTGGATCGGAGTGGGTAGAGCCGTGGTGAGGACAGAAGGAAGCTCAAGGCACAGGCCCAGGTGAGCCAGGCCCTCTGCCCAGGGTTGACCCAACTTCACAGCTTTGCACAAGCAGGCAGCTAGTGTGGGGGTGGGCGTTTGCCTGCAGTGTGGGTCAGGTCACGAGGGTACCTACAGACACTAGTGGGCTTCTGGAAACACAAAGCAGTTTGTGACGGGCACAGCAACAATGGAGGGGTGATGGGGCGGCTGGCCCTGCTGGAAGAGCCTGGCAGCCGGCACACTTGAGATGGCTTCTTCTCCATAGTGTACCCATGGTCACCTGAGTCACTTGGGAGAGGAGGTGGTGGTAGCCAGGATGCCTTGGAGAACAGAAAGTCACAAGAGTTTGGTGGGGGCTCCCAGGCCTCTCCCTGGTTTCTGCTCCAGAGTGATATAGAGGACCTGCCACCTGACCAGAGGAGCCCCTAGGCTTTCTAGGCCTATTCTCTTGGGGAGGACTTGGGAAGGCTCATCTCCCCAGCCCCGTCTTCATTTCCCAACTCTTCCATGGGCCCCTTGGCCTCCTCTTCTACCTGGCCGAGGCTCTCTGGCTCACAGCTAGACACTTCTGGGCCTGATGTAGAGGCAGTGCCCATAGGGGCTGAGGTGGGGGCCCCAGGGCTCTCAACGGGCCCTTCCTGGCCTAGGCCTGCAAGATCAAAAGATGCTTCATCTTCCTCAGTGGTTGCCTTTGGGGCATCATCGGTATCAGAATCAGCCTCAGCAGCACGCTCAAGATCAGGACCAACCTCTCCACGGGCCTCTTCCTGGGCTGGGGAAGACAGAGATGCATCTTCCAGGAGGGAAGCAGGCCCAGCAACCTCTCTGTGGGAAGGCCCAGCCTCTGCAGCCTCACCTCCCAACTCCTCACTTGCAGCAAAGGCAGCTTCCCAGGCTTCCGTCTCCTGCACCAGCTGAAGCAGCGCCTGGAAGCCAGGGGGGCGTCTCTCCAGACGCATCCTTCTCAGCTTTCTCTGCAGAGTCCAGTTTGGATTGGCCCGCATCAGCACCTGCCGGGCTCGCATCTGGTCTGCTGTGGCGGGGTGGATGGCCCCCTTCTCGATGGCTGCCTGCAGGAAGCCTTCCAGGCGCATGACATAGGCTAAGAGAGTCTCCTCAGGCCCCTGTGAGCAGATCAGAAACTTCAGCCGTGCCATCACCCGGACATCCGTGTTTCCAAACACCCGCACCAGCGCAGCCAGGCAGTCCTGCGCAGGGATATCCGGGTGCTCTTCCAGGAGCTCACAAATGACATTCAGGGCAGGGCCTTCCAAGGACTCCACCAGCCTCCTCCTCCTCTCTTTCTCCGAAATGTGGCGCCACAGGTACAGCATGTCGTTGACATGGTTCATCCAGCTCTCGAAGGACTCTTCCTCAGGATCTACCTCTTCCATCCCAGAAAAGGCTCTCAATTCCTGGTAGGCCATGTTTTCCAGGACAGGCTGCAGGACCTGGCCCCACTGCTGGGCTCCTGCTCTATGATGGGTTGCTGCAGCCCCATCCCAGGCCCCTTCTTCTCCTGGAAGGCCTGCCTCACCAGCAGCTCCTGCCATTCCCACAACTCCTATGGCACCTTCAATGCCTGTGTCACCTCCAGCTCCTTCCTCATCTGACAATCTTGCCTCATCCGCAGGTTCTGCCTCACCAGCACCTGCTGCCACACCTGGCACTCCTTCCTCATCTGCAGGTCCCATTGCTCCAGGTTCACCTGCATCTCCTGCCTCACCTCTATCTCCTGCCTCATCTGCATCTCCTGCCACACCTGCATCTCCTGCCTCACCGGCATCTCCTGCCTCACGGGCATCTCCTGCCTCACCTGCATCTCCTGCCGCACCTGCAGCTCCTGCCGCACCTGCAGCTCCTGCCGCACCTGCCACACCTGCATCTCCTGCTTCACCTACAGCTCCTGCCATACCTGCTATTCCTTCCTCACCTGCAACACCTGCTGCTCCTGGCTCTCCAGCAGCCCCTACCTCAGCTGCAATCCCTTCCTCACCTGCAGCTCCTGCCTCACCTGCATCTCCTGCCACACCTGCATCTCCTGCCTCGCCTGCAGCTCCTACTGCTCCTGCCTCTCCTGCAGCTCCTGGCTCTCCTGCAGCTCCTGGCTCTCCTGCAGCTCCTGGCTCTCCTGCAGCTCCTGGCTCTCCTGCAGCTCCTGCCTCACCTGCATCTCCTGCCTCACCTGCATCTCCTGCTGCTCCTGGCTCTCCTACAGCTCCTGCCACATCTGCTGCTTCTGCCTCACCAGCAGCTCCTACTGCTTCTGGCTCACCTGCAGCTCCTGCCTCACTTGCAGCTCTTTCCTGACCTGCAGCTGCTGGCTCAAGTTCAGCTCCTTCCTCATCAGAAGTTCCTCCCTCACCTGAAGAGCTGTCCTCGCCAGGAGCTTCTGCCTCACCAGGCGCTTCTGCCTCGCCAGGCGCTTCTGCCTCGCCAGGAGCTTCTGCCTCACCAGGAGCTTCTACCTTACCAGGAGCTTCTGCCTCACCTGCAATGCCTTCCTTGCCTGCAGCTCCTGCCTGAGCTGCACAGCTTTCCTCACCAGGAGCTTCTGTCTCACCTGCAGAACTTTCCTCATCAGAAGCTCCTGCCTCAGCTGCAAAGACCTCCTCATCAGGAGCTCCTGCCTCAGCTGCAAAGCTTTCCTCATTAGGAGCTCCTGCCTCAGCTGCAAAGCTTTCCTCATCAAGAGCTCTTGCCTCAGCTGCAAAGCTTTCCTTATCAGGAGCTCCTGCCTCAGCTGCAAAGCTTTCCTCATCAGGAGCTCCTGCCTCAGCTGCAAAG